CCCTGCTCGATGTGACGGCAGCCCTGTGGTCCCGCCTTGCCCACGAGTCTAAGGTTCATTGATCTCCCGTAGCTTCTCACCTTTGACACCGCTCCCTGGGAACTGCTCGGGTGGTTTCGCTTTTACCTGCTCTTGGTGCAGAGAGGCTCAGGCTGTCGCCCCTGACCCCACGAACTGGAGCGCCCAGAGGAAAGCAAGGCTTCGGGAAGGTAAGGCAAAGGCATCCTCTGCCGGGGGATTCCCTGCAGGGCAAACCCCAGCCCCAACCCACCAAAGTGCTTTTCCCAGACAAGCTCCCGCAACTCTCATTCTCCCACCGGGAAGCAGCCCCTCATTCCAGCCACAGCGGAAGGGCGGCAGCACCCCCCTCAGCTGCTCCCTGCCAAAGCGAAGAGATTTAGGAAGACTTAGGAAGCCCTCTGCCCTACCCCAGTCCTCTCAGGTAGCCAACAAGCTGCTACAAAGGTCTTAGCAGAGCACTTGATCTCACCCACAGCTCAGGGCGGTCTCCTTTTATTGCTGCCTTATTTCCCCAGCTCGATCCAGCTCTACGGTTAATGACCCTTATTGTGTTGCCCTTAGCTCTGAGGCAGGCTGGTTGCACTGAGAAATCAGCCCTATGTAAATCTAACACTGTTTACGCATTAGGTCTTTGCAGTTGGGATTTGTGTATCCCCTGGTAACCTCGGCCTAAATGAACTTTCCAAGCAGCCAGGCTCCTACACCAGCACCGTGAGAGCTTTAGCAGGTAGGAGGAGGGTCCTGAAAGCAGAGGAGTACTTTGAGGTAAATAATTGGGGAGTTAAGTGCATGACCGCTATATGGGGGAAAAATAAAGAACCTAGATCTGAAAGAACCTAAAAACATCATGTCCAAAAATTACAGGGCTAGAAACTGAAGACTTACATGGGTAGCATAGGGGTCCTGTTTTTTCCGAGAAGTTCACTAACTGTGGTGCCTGTTCATTGCTGCACCCCCGCCGAAACTCAGGAAATGTCACCAGTGGTTTTAGGATCTTCTTAGAGCTTATGGTTTAGAAAAGTTTAGACATCAGTTAGACATCATTAGACTTAAACATTAATTTCCCAGGAAGTTGAGTCTTAAATAACACTTCTGAATAACTCCATCCCAAACATATGCGTCTTTGCTTTCTTTACTGTTTTCCATTTGAAATAAAAGGCTTATCCCCTGCCAATAAATATACCAGGATACCCCCTCCTCAGGTTAGGTATACTGCAGAGATACTAATTTATTGAGCATCAAAAGCCAAGCCCTTGCTCTTATATTCCAGCACAAATATCTACTCTGCTGCCTCATGTTTCTAGTTTTTTGTTACTAGTATTTATGCCTATAAAAATAAATTTGAAAGGATGCTCCTTACATAAAGTCCACCTTCCTGCTAATTATAAACAGATGAGTCACACTCATAAAACAATTTGTCAGGTTTCTTGGAAGCATCGAGGGCAGGTGGTTCAAGCGCAGTATAACTGATGTGGTGCTGCTGCCTTACCTGACAAACACATCACCTTTAAGTTGATTTACATTCCTCCTCATACCCACCCATTGCCCATGGGAAGGAGAGAGAAGACATCGCGGGTGTCTGGCCACAAATACAATTTCCTGGGTGCAGCGATGTTTAATTCTCCATAAGGAAGTGCGAAATGATCTGCCTCCTGGCCGTTACAGTGCTCGCCTTCTAGGTAAGTCTGAGATCAGGCAAGCCTGTACCAAATATCTGCTGCTAGACACAACTATCACAAAATAATAAGCTGTATCTGGAGACTAAATCCACCAACAGGATATTTACAGTTTATTGAAGAGAAAGGCTTGTCTAGACTAATCTCCAGCTCTGAATCCCAGCAGGTTTAGCTTTACTTACTCCTCAGCGTGTCCTCTAGGCACGACTTGTAATACTTAAGCTGTTCCCGAGGCTGCTCCCTAAATTGCTGAGTTATTCTTTACCAGGATCAAACTAAAAAGACCCCAAATCCAGCATCTAAGCAGTCCCAGCTCAGGTATCAATACAGCCTTCTAGCATTAAACAGAGAGTAGCAGAGTGAAATAATGAGAAACTGGGTTTAAGAGAGACTATTTTGGCTATTTTTCATTCAACTTCTTGGTTCCCTGGAGAGTTTTATGGCTTATCACATACAGTAGCTAATGTACCTGCCCAGAAAGGATAGCAGCCCTATATATACTTACAAAGAGTAAGAGTAAGAATAAGAAGGCTTACAAAGAGGCAAATATACGTAATTAATACCAGAAGGAGCACAGCTTTATGCTGTGCTGCAGGGTTTATCTTTTTCACAGAATCACAGAATGTTAGGAGTTGGAAGGGACTGCGAAAGATCATCTAGTCCAACCCCTCTGCCAGAGCAGGATCATCTGCAGTAGGCCACGCAGGAACATGTCCAGGCGGGTTTTAAATGTCTCCAAAGAAGGAGACTCCACAATCTCTCTGGGCAGCCTGTGCCAAGGCTCTGTCACCTTCAGTGAAAAAGTTTTTTCTAATGTTTTTGTGGAACCTCTTCTGTTCCAGCTTGCATCTGTTGCCCCTTGTCCTGTTGTTGGACATCACTGAGAAGAGCCTGGCTCCATCCTCCTGGCACTCACCCCTTACATATTTCTAAACATTTATGAGGTCACCCCTCAACCTCCTCTTCTCCAAGCTAAAGAGACCCAGCTCCTTCAGCTTTTCCTCGTAAGGGAGATGTTCCACTCCATCATCTTTGTGGCTGCACTGGACTCTTTCAGCAGTTCCCTGTCCTTCTTGAACTGGGGGGCCCAGAACTGGACACAATATTCCAGATGTCGTCTCACCAGGGCAGAGGAAAGGGAGAGCAGAACCTTTCTCGACCTGCTAGCCATGCCCCTTCTAATATACCACAGGGTGCCATTGGCCTTCTTGAGGGCACATTGCTGGCTCATGGTCATAAAAGCTATCAGGTTGGTCAAACACAACTTCCCCTTGGCAAAGCCATGCTGACTGCTCCTAATGACCTTCTTATCCTTGATAAGCCTAGAGACAACACTGAGGATAAGTTTTTCCATCTCCTTTCCAGGGATGGAAGTGAGGCTTAAAAAAATATAACTCGCTCCAAACTAGCTCTTCTGCACAAACTGCAATCCCATTCTTTATTGCTGAGCTGTACAAGTGGGGGAGAAGATTTTAGCCTTTTTTTAAGAGGATGAAAGCCCATTTCACCAGGCAGAAAAACTACCCACATCTAAAGATACAGACTCAGGTTCAGCCAGCACCAGGATCGCTCTTGGTGAGAACCTGCTTTGATAATAGCTCAGGGAAGGGAGAAGAATTAAAGGTTTGGAGCCTGACAGATTACAGGAGGAAGACAGGCAAAATAAAGAGGCTTGTGGGATGGGCAATGCACAGGAACAAGAGGCTATTGTCAAACAAGGGAGCCACAGAGACTTTCCTGGGCCAGGAGCCACATTTATGTCTTTATAAGGGTGTTACTTCTTACTCACCTGCAAGATCTGCACCCCAAACTCCTGCAAGCCCCAGGGATTAATTGAAATCGTTGGACCAAATCTTCCTTATAAGTCTTGCAGGTCCCTGCTTTCTGGCTTACCAGGGCTTTCTTCAAAAGCACATGAAGAGAAGCACCCCGTGCCAGCAGTGTTCACCCCAGAAGAGCAGGCTCTTAATCTGGCATGCAAAAGTGGCAAGAGGGTCAGGACACACAGGCAGGGACCAGCAGCAGGGCATGAACATTTCAGCATCCTTCACAAGGCTTCTCTGCTGCCTTTGGTTATACGTCCCATCTCTGCACACTGCAGTTACAGGCTTGTTCCTGGCATGCTTTCCCTCTCCTGCTGCATGCAAGGTGGTGTAAATGCATGCAAAGTCACCTCATGCCCTTCTGCTCAGTTCAACACCCCATGACCTTTCATCTTCAAGCTCTGCATGAACTTCCCTCTCTCTCACACAGCAAGTAATTTTAGAGGAGGAGCTCCGCAGGGAGGAGCCAGGGCAAAGCTGTGGCTAGCTGTAAGACAGTGTTATTTACTACCCTTGGCTGACAGCAAGGCAAGTGTCACTTACTTGAGCTTAAGGCTGGGAGAAGAGGAAACGCGCCATCCAGGAGGGCTTACGCTGACCATCCTCTTCCCAGGGTATGTGCAGTGCTCTGCAGCAGCTCTCTTCAAATCAGGTTTGAGATGACTACGGTTGTTTCAGGCTGCATTCCCCCCACCATCCTGGGTCACTCTGAGTGATGCAGAGTCATCAGCTGTGGTGCAACGGTCATGAGAGCATGAGACTTAATAGGCTTGTCTGCCTAGGGTTTCTTAGTTTATGGCGGAGGAGCATGTGGAATCTGCTTTGTGTGCTGCTGTCCTCAAGGTTGCTTGGGTCAGGTCCTCTGACTCTTCCTTTTTCACCCTGGAAAGCAACATGCTGACTTCAAGTGTTGCTGCCACACAGCCCATCAGCTCTTGAGGTGCTCAGCCCCACCATCTGCACAGGGCACTGTCCTCAGCAAGCTGGTAGCAGCATCACTCCCATGCCCGAGTTCCCCTCCAGCCTCAGTTAGGCTCTCCTTGTATAACTTCTAACCAGGATGCACAGTAAGCATGGAACAGCAGCCTAATCTCTTCACCAGGGCTTTGGGAAAGGAGCTATGCTCAAGAGCAAGGCAGACCTCTAAGTGTTGTCCTTTTGCTGTTCTCTTTCTCCAGCATGTCCTCGCTTTAAAGGAGATGCACTCAATTCAATCTCCCTGTCTACATCCAAAAAGGCCTCTTGCATCAAGTTTCTTTCTAGAGATCTCCACCCTCTGGTCATAGCTAATAGTGGCAGAGAATTTGATGTGTTAAATTTCATTAATGATTTTGTTCTAGTCTGTTTTGAGGTTAAACCCCACCTGCTCTACTGCCACCAGTCAGGTGTTGATGCAGGAGACTCAGCTGACGGACCTGGGATCACTGCAGATGTGTTCTGAACAGAGCTGGTTTCCTTGCAGATCATTGCACAGAAAGCAATGCCAGACACTTCCCTGGAGGGCATCCATCCCACCTACATCTACAAGGTGGTTCTGCTGGGAAGCACATCAGTGGGAAAGTCAAGCCTGGCTTACCGATATGTGAGAAATGACTTCAAGGAGTCACTGCCAACCGTGGGATGTGAGTGGCTTCAGTAGCTTGATGGCTCTGGACAAGAGACCAGGCCTAAATGCCCTTCGTTGCCGCAGGGTGGGATGTGGGAGAACAGGCTGGTATATCCTGAGGTAGCATAGACCCATTTTTCAACACAATACAGACTTGCCCCAGAGCCAGACCTCTCCATTGCTTTCACCTTCAGATCTCTGCAGCCTGTTTTCTTTGGCACCAGGCTGTAAACAAAGCCACATCCAAAGTGCACAGGTTTGGCTTAGGACTATTTTTTGAAGGCAGATGAGCAGCAAAATGAGTGAAACCTGGAGTCCAAACCAGCTGGCACCTCCTGCCCTTTGCAATGCTTGATTCAGCACTGCCCTCACAGCTGTCTGGACACCCCAGGAGAGCATCTCCTGTACATGTGTTGCCCCAACCTCAATGTCCTACTGGAGCAAGGAGGTTCTAGCTGAGGTGCAGGTGAGTGGGACAGCTCAGGAGGTGATGGCGAGCTGCAGCAGGACCCCTCCAGCACTGCTCGAAGGTAGGCTCACTGCAGTGCTTTGTTCCTCCAGCCTGCCTGCAGAGATGAGAGCACAGACCTCCCTGCACCCTGGCCAGGAAACAAATCCCACACTCTGCCCCACTGGCAGAGGGGAGAGCACCTGCCCCCGGCGTCCTAAGCTAACAAGCAATGCTGAACATCCTATGTCATAAGACAGGCCACATACATGCTCGTGCTTTGACAAAAACCATCTGGAGAGGTGTGAGAGCCCTACTCCCCCTATAACCTCCCTCAGGCCAACACACCTGCTAGGATCAAGCTGCATCCCCTATATGTTCACATCAGCACAGCTTCCCACTGCATCTAGACATCATAGATGCTCATTTTACATGACAATACCTAGGTTTTGCCCTTAAGAAGGCTCAGAGGTAATGGCCCCACCTGGAGCCTGAAGGACTAGTTGGTGGGGGAGAGCAGGGTGCTGTGGAGCTACTCCCTCTGTCCCTCTGCCTCAGCTCTGGCTGGTCTACAAGTAGTCACCAGCTCCCTGGGAGTAGGGATGGAGGCTCTCCTCCAGTGAGAGCCCTTTTCAGTGATATTCCTAGTCACAGCTCTCGCAGGTCTGACCCACCAGTAAGGTGGAGGTGAGTCTCTGTCTGAGGGCTATTCTGCAAACTCAGTTATCCAACATCAAAACTAGTGTGCATCCACCCAAATCTGCAGCCAGGAAGGGCTCCCAGCCTGCAACAAGCTGCCCTGCCCCATGGCACGCCGTCCTATTGGTGGTGCCTGCACTTAGGAGAAACCCACCTCAGTTTTGTACATTGGAGTATTGTTACCCGTCCTAGGCATGGGTTTGACCTCATGGCAGCAGACCTGAGCTCTCTGCTCTTGCTGCAAGCAAACATACACTCTGTATCTTGCTTGCAGGCTCTTTCTTCACACAGACACTCAACCTGGAGGGAGCCACCATCAAGCTTGAGATCTGGGACACAGCAGGCCAGGAGAAGTACCACAGTGTCTGCCACCTCTACTACCGGGGCGCCCACGCTGCTCTCCTCATTTACGACATCACTAACAAGGTAAGGCAAGGGATGCTGAGCTCATCCGTGCCAAAACTATGCCATGCTGCAGCAGCACTGCCAGGGCAGATGTGCCCAGCTGGTGGTGTTTGTCCTTGGTAGAGCAGAAAGCAGTACACAAGCACCACCTGAGAAGATGAACATCCCGCCTGGCACATGCCAGGGGCTATCTCTGCTCAGGCAGGACCATGCTACCACCTCAGGGGTGATTTCTGCTGTTATGAAGAAGGGATACATCCCATCCAAGGTTGATTTCTCTCTAAAGGGTTTTGAGGGCCAGTGACCTGTCTGCCTTGGAAAGAGGGTAATCAAAGCCTCCCCACCACATCTATTCCACACCCTTTTCGTTCGGTGGCACCCATCCAGCTTTGCTATGCCTGAGATAAAGGGATTAAATCAAAACCAGATGACTGTGTGGTTTTGTCTCCATCTCTCCAGGAAACACTCAACAGAGCAAAGCTGTGGCTGAGGGACCTGGAGAAGGAATTTCTTCCTGATGAAATTGTCATTGCTTTTGTGGGCAACAAGACTGACCTTGCTGCTGAGCGAGAAGTTGCTACCGAGGTGAGTGCTTGTGGTGAGCTCCCAGGCCCGTTCATCACCTCCTCATCGCCAGCCACTGGAATGTGTCCTAGCTGAGACCTCTAAAGTCCCCGTGAGATTATTCACCTGTTGTGAAATGCCACCATAACCGAAAAATAACAACTGCGGGAAATAACTCTGCTTGTCTCCACCCAGGAGGGGGAAGAGTTTGCAAGGACCAATGGCCTCTTGTTCATGGAGACATCTGCAAAATCCAACCACCAAGTAAATGATATCTTTATGGCCATAGGTGAGTTGTGTAATAGCTCCAGGTGAGAGCAGGGAGAGGTAAACCACAGGCCCCAAACCTCTCCTTCAACATTGTAAACATCTTTCCCCCTGCAAAGCCAAGACCCTCCCATTTCTTGTGGTTGCCACTGAGATTTTCTTCCTGGCTGGTCCAGACTGTGAGGCACTCAGCAGCTGCAAGGATCACAGCCACAACAGTCCATGGTTTCTGTGAAACACGGCACACCTCTTGTGGCAGAAGGATGGATGGATCCATCACAGTATGCTGGAGCATTGGAGATGGCTTTCAGTCCCTCTCCAAAACCCATGATTTTCTTTTACTTTAGTATCTGATCTACTTGTAATTGTGTCCCCAGTGTTCAGTAGAGATTCAACACACTTAGTGTGGGACAGTACTGACGGTCATCAGTGGCTCCCCTGGGGTGGGACAGGACAGCCATTGCATCCCACCCCACCAGCAGGAGAAATGAACCCTTTCTCACCTTGTGTTTCTTCCTAGCCCAACAGCTCCTGCAGCAGGAACAAGAGAAGGCGTCTGCCTCGTCCCTGCATGAGAGGTCAACAGTCAACCTAGGGGAGAGCAGGGAGAGGATGAGGTGCTGCAAGATCTGAGGATGGGCAGTTCTGGACCTCAGCAGTGACCGGTTGAGGTCTCAAAGAGGAGCCATAACAAAGCAGGTGGGGACATAGAAACACAGGGGCAGCTCAACCTGATCATCCTCCCACTCAGAGCAAGGTCAGAGCCCATCTTGGGACATGACAACTCTTCAACCCTCCAGCACTGGCTTCATCCAGGAGGCAAAGCACAGTGGTTTCTTCCAGTAAGTTTCTGCTTTCACAGAGGAACATGACCCGCCAGCACCACGACCCTGACTGGTGACATTCCCCGACCCCAGCTGCATGTCACCTCCTCTGTCTCCCTTCACATCTGAAAAGGGAGGTTTAACTTTCCAGAGCAAAGCAAGTACAAAGCAAGTGCATCCCAGTGGCTTTACACTCAGGCTGCAAATAAAGAGAATGTTGCCCTAGAGGTGTTCGGGGTTTTTTTTTGGTATTCTTTTTTCTTTATTCCCTGCCCCCCGCCCACCACTGACCTGTGTATCAGCCCACAGATGGGGACTGCAGGAAGCCTGGAAGTGGCAGGGACTGGAAGCAGTGCTCCACTTGCCACCCCAGCCCCCACCTGAACCATTACAGGGGTCACAGGCCGTCCTTGGGAGACATCACCAACTTATTGCCAATTTAAGACCCTAGTCTGGGGGCAGAGCAGGACCAAAACAAATGCTGGGCATCATGGCAGCCTAGTCCTTGCAACAGGCTTACCCTTTGTGCATTATGAATTATGTGCCTTGGCTAGAAGAGGAGAAAAACAGTGACCTCCTAGGCTCTGACCAAAAGCGTGCTAGTGCTCAGGGGCTGTCAGGCTCAAGGAATATGCTGGTCTTTCAGGGAGAGCGGCAGCAACTCTGGCAGAGCCACAGGCAAAGAGGCTTTGAGGCACATCCTGGTGGTGATGCCAGACCATGGGTCAAGGCTTGGTTGGGCTGAACTCCGCCCCAAGGCAGCACATACCCTTGCAGAAGTTTCCCATGGATAGAAGGGGACCACAGTACCCTTTGCCCAGGTTTGCCAGATCAGATCGTCCCCATCTGCCCCCTGCCTGGGAACCCTCCACCGCCAGCACCTCGCATCAGCCAGGTGAAGCTTTCCTAGGGCTGAACTCTCCTGAAGAACAGAGGCTCCTTCTCAGCAAGACTTTTTTTTTTTTTTTGCTTCCTCTTGCTTAAATCCCCTTCACTGGGGCAGCTGAGAGACATTAGGTGCTAATTGGTACTCCCCCTCCATCTGCCTTCTCCCAAGATTAACCCTTTCCTCCCCAAACAGCCTTAGACCCTCAATGCCGGTCCAGGAGCTGCAGATGGCTGTTGAAGGTCACCCTTTTCCGTGGCCCCTCTTGCCCCCAAACTGGAGAGGAGGTAAAGTGGTCTGTCTTGGGAACTCAGCTTGTGAGGACACATCTGGGGACAAACAGAAAGATGGACAGAGTCCCGTGCATTCCCCTGAGTGTTTCTGACCTGGGCCATGGAAACAGAGTGGATGTTTCTGACCCCAACACCATGGAAATGAAAGTGTCGGGAGCACCCATGGGTGTCAGCACGCTGCAGGGACCTTGAGTGCTGCACCTGGGAAAGGGAGCCCTCTGGGGCTTATTTTTAGGGTATTTTTTTGAGTGCGTGAAGATGAACCTGCCGTGAAGTACAGAGAGGGAAGCGGTGCCAGCTCAGGCTACAAAAATTTTTTGATGTCACACCCCCCTAGCTCATGTTCCCTCCCCATGCCATATTTCGGAACAGAGAGCCTGGGACACGAGGATGAGAGGAGAAGGACTTTTATTGTCAGCTGCAGCTCAGGAGCTCTGCTCCTTCCTGGGGGGCTGGGGGTGCAGGTAGGAGGGGACACATGCTTGCCACCGGCCGGCTACCCCGGGATGGGTGCCTCCGTCCAGGGCTCGTCGTCGCCCGAACCGCCCCACTGGCCTGATCCCACGCCCCGTGTACCAGGAGGGGTCGATGCCCGGATCTGCAAGGCAAAAGCAGAGGGACTGTCAGGGGGCGATGGATGGGGGGCATGGAGTGGGGACAAGGCACGAACCCATGGCTGTGGGGGCTGACAAACACCAAGTGGGAAGGAAAAGGGATTGAGGGGCATAAAAGATGTTGCAAAGGCTGTTGCAAAGCAAACCTTTGCTTCTGCATAGCGACAACCCCCTCCCCACCCCCCTCTGCAAATGCATGTGAGTCTGGGGATGCAGAGTGGGCCGGAGGCAGGGGGTTGGCTGGGGGGAGTCCCTTACTCCTGCTCGCCTTACTCCGGATTTCCATGGAGCGCTCGTGGATGCGGCAGTGGGCGATGGGCAGGGTCAGGCAGGCGAGTAGCAGGCACAGGAGGCAAGCGGCCTCCAGCTTCATCCCCGTTGGTCTCTGGCCACTGTGTCTTGGTCCTGAAGCCTCGCAGACCCTGGAGCTTCGCTCTGGTGCCACGAAGACAGCGGTGCCCTCTGATGCGGCTGCAGGATTGAAGGGGTTTTGTTGCAGAGACAACTGTCTTGGGTTAAATGCTCATAGGGTGAGCCCCTCCCATCAGGAGGGGAAGGCTGAGACAGAAGGAATTCTGTGACTGTATTGGTGCTGCCGTGGGGCAGCCATCCCCATCACAGCATCCCCAGGCAGGCAGCAATGCGGAGGGTTGTCGGGGCAGCTTGAACAAAACCTGGTGGTTTTTTTTTTGCTGGGGCTGGTATCTCTGGGGAAAATATCCACTGCAAACATGAGTTGTACAAACATCACGCTCATTAAAGTAGGTTTTTGTACTAGTCTGGCACCTTAGGCCAGGCCTTTAATTGCTCTTTCTCTCAGAGACCCCCCGAGTGCACCTGTGGGACCCTGCAGCCTGGAAAACAAGGAAAGGGGCCACTACCAAATTGGAGGGCTGGCAGCACCAAGCAAAGGCTGCAGAGGCACAAAGGGGTTTTGCTTCTGAGTGCTGCTTGATGGACGGAGTGCGGCCACCTCTGCACCCTGGGCACCCACCCCTGGATCCAGCTGCCAAAACCAGCAAATGGGAGCACCCTCTAACGCGCTTTATGGCACCGAGGTGATGAGCAGGACTGTACAGGGTGGGCTGAGCAATGAGCTTGGTGGCTGCAGTGACCTGCAAGGAGGGAGCAGGGCAGAGGGCAGAAGTGGGAGAGCTGGGATAAGCAGGACACTGCGGGCACAGAGCAGCAGCTTTATTTCCAGGGACTTTTGCAAAGAAGTTTGCAGCGTGCCGGGCAGGAGCCTCTGCTAGCTCCTGACAACTCAGGTTTGCTACATCACCAACTTTTTACTATCCCCTTTTAGAACCCCCGACCAGCTGGACGGACATAAGGACACGCACACACACACAGAGGCAAAGCAGCACTCGGGAAATTATCCAGCAACAAAAGCACCATGAGGAGGAGAGAAAAGAGACGCTTGCCCCTCTCCGGGGCTGCACTTACCGCGGCGTGGCGAGGCGAGGTGCCTGGCTGCCGTCCCACTGAGCAGAGCGGCCGCTTCTCTGAGCCGGAGTCCCTTCCAGTCGCCGTTTTTATGGCCGGTTTCATGCTGATGTCAGAGACGAGCCCCAGCAGGGATCGAGCTGGGGCATCTCCCCTCCCCGCCATCCCCTCTCATCAAATCAGCACAGGGATATTTGTGACTCAGAAGGGACCAGTACTTTATCTTCTGCTGACCGAGGCAGATAGCTTGGGAATATGTTAATCCCTGTCCTCAACCCAGTGTTATTTCAGACAAGGGAAAGTTTTCTGCTCCATCACCCTGCCTGTGGGGAGTCCTTCACCCAGCGAGGGTTCGGTGGGTGATGCCACCCTGAACGCTGGGATCCTGCTGCCACAAACCCGCTCCCGCACAGGAGTTGCACCGGATGCCACTACCCTTTCTTCTTCAACCATCTCAAAAGCTGCCTTAAGGAAATCAGGAAATTAAATACAGAGAAGAGGAGAAGACAACTTGCTGGGGCATGTGAGGCTGTCAGGAGCAGGATTCTCACCACAGCAGGAGAGCTTCAAACCTCCTGTTCCAAATGGGTTAAATCACCACCAGGGAAAGATTTCTGATGATATTTGGTCTGCTGAATGCAACAAAGCTGGAGGAGCAAGGCCAGGTCTCCAGCTTAGAGGGCTGGTCAGTGTCCACACAGAGGTCCAGCCACAGGCAAAACTGGAATTACTGGGACTAGACATCCCAAAACAGGGACCTCTCTGTGTTGACAGGATGGTGAAGACACCATCACTGATGGGGTGCAGGCAGGGAGAAGGTCTTGTCTGCCACCTCCATGTGGGGCTGGCATTGCCCTGGGACATATCTCCATCTCATGGCATGGTTGGCTCCGATGCCCGAGCACAGCCAGTGTTGGGAGATGGTCATGGGAGCAGCATGGAACACAGGACAGAGCTGCAGAGGGGCATCAAGGGCAGGGAGAGGGATGAGAGAAGGAGAAAGTTCATCATATGAGGAAATCCAGACCCTAGGTTCAACAGAACTCCGTCTACCCCACGTTTGTTGCTCTTATTTAATATAGATTTAAAGCAACCCCTTGATGTTGTGGGCTTGTGTTTTGGGTAGCTTCAGCTGCCAGATTTGATCCTGGGTTTCCATGTGAGTCTGAGCAGCACAGTTAAGGGTCAGCCCTGCCTTACCACCCCCACACCGTGCACCCCTTGTGCCTGCCTGGCCTCGCCACTGGGTACCACTGCCCCAGGCTCATCACACCCATGGCTCTGGGACCAGCATCTGACAAGTTGAATTGCCATCCTGTCCATCACCATCTCCCCCCCTGTTCTGCTTTGGTGCTGCTGATTCGACCCCTGCCTGGCTTTCACCCGTCCAGTTTTAAAGCAGGGGGCAGAGCGCACCAGCTGGTTAAAGGAGAGGATGGGAAAAGAGCTTTCACTCAAGTGAGATGAAAGAATAGACACTGCAAAATGGGTCTGACTTTCTGGACACAAAATTGGCTTTATTGCATCATCCAGTGTATATTTATACATATATATGTATAACCTCTACACA